CTGCTTCACCATAAAAAAAAAAAAAAATTAAAATTTTTCTTGTGGTTTTGTTAGGACCTGAGGAGGACAAAGACTTTCCAGTTCAAATTCTGCCCCACTTGTACCTTGGAAACGCAGCGAACAGCGAGGACAGGGAGGCCCTGGCACGTCACAGGATACAGTACATCCTCAATGTAACCCCAGATTTGCCAAATGTATTTGAAAGCGCTGGTTCGATAAAATACATGCAAATACCCATAAGCGATCACTGGAGCCAGAACCTAGCTAGTTTCTTTCCACAAGCAATTCAGTTTATTGGTGAGCATTTTAATCTAGTTAAATGAAATTATACCAATTTCAATCCATAGATAAACACATTTTTCTCATCTTTTAGAGGAAGCTCGAAGCTCAGACAAGGGAGTGCTGGTCCACTGTCTGGCCGGAGTGTCCCGGTCCGTCACAATCACCGTAGCCTACTTAATGCACAAGTGTAGCCTCAGTCTGAACGACGCATTCAACCTAGTTCGCAGCAAAAAATCTAACGTTGCCCCGAACTTCCACTTTATGGAGCAATTGCACAGTTTTGAGAAGGAGTTGAGGGACAGGGGCGACAGAAGTAGCAGGGGGAATGACCAGAGGTGCATAGGGGCTTGTCGACCTGGTGGACCCTGCAACTGCCCAGCTCCAAGCTTCCTCAGCCCCAAGGATCTGGGTCTTAGTCCAGATTCAGGGATAGAATGGGACAGGTGGGCGTCGAGCACTCCAGCCGAATGAGACGGGCCAGGGGGGACCCAATACAAATTTTAGGTCCCTCCTTAGTACGCCATAGTAAAAGAAACGAGAGAAAAGAATAGCCCTAATTGAAGGGTGCGGGATAGGAAGTTTACAGAGGTATAAGAAACATGCAGTGTAAAAGTAGACAGATTTTAGGTATGTTTGTTGCGTACTAAAAAGAAAAAAACTAACAAGTGAAGTTGTTGAAACAAAAAGAAAAAAAAATACGGCTGAGCCTTTCTAGTATTTTTCTATGTGTAATGGAAAATTGTTTCTCTTCTGAGACTTCGTAAGTCGCTTAAAAAAAAGAAGAAGAACTAATTGTAAATGGTGGACACGGTTAATTTCTTTTTTTTTTTCTCTTGGAGAACTTTCTCGCTATTCTAAATCTTGACCTAAGACGTAAATCGTATCGCAATTTAGGAAAGAAAAAAAATTATATTTAGGACTGCTAAAAAGAAACAAAAAAGGGTTCTAGCGGCTCTTCTTTTTCTAAGTTCTCGTGATATATATAGTGTTAAACACTGAAAGTATTTTATAAACTCTGGGTACTTTCTTACTGGTTACCATTACATTTGTAATGTTGTGTCATGTCAGGTTTGAATCAGCTACTCAATTTCTTCTTTTCATCGGGAATTTTTTCGTTCAGCCCTCAAATCCATCTTTAGGATACGATTTTATACGTACACACTGTATCATCTTCGAAAGATGACGAGATATATCTGCACGCGCGCGCGCGCCCACACACACACACACACACACACACACTTTTAATACTTATTACCTGAACCCTTCAATTAACGAGGCTGTGTTTGTTTTATCATCGCAGACGATGCTTATATATATTCAAGACGAAACCACAAGATGAAATATTGATTAAAATAAGTCGTCACATCCAGGCAGTCACAAGTAGTCGAATTAAAATAAAGGAAAAACTGCTTTGCACACACACACACAGACACACACATACACTAAGTTTAAGTTAAAAGAGGTACAAAAAGAAAAAAAAAGAAACTCGTACTCAGCAGTTTAGATTACTATATATATGAAATAGAAGAAGAAAAAGGTATATACGTACATAAGAAAAAGGTTATGATTCGATACTATTCGAGCGTAATTTTTGACATAGTTTTTCAATCCACAAAAGTGACTTATCTTCGAGAATGGAGCATGTTTCTTCGTTGCATTCTAACATTTTAAGAGATGCAACGTTATCTCATGTACGTTCTCTCTCTCTCTCTCTCTCTCTCTCTCTCTCTCTCTCTCTCTCTCTCTCTCTCTATCTCTCTCTATCTATCTATCTATTTATCTATCTATCTATTTCGAATAATTAATCTCGATTAATAATCGATTTATGAAGTACATCTTTACGGATCAGTGCATTTCTATAGGGCATTCCGAGTCTTCTATTTCCGAGATGAAAAATTATCAGGGTCGTCGTAAACGCGTGCAAGAATACTTTAGATGGTTTAAGTTCGTGATGTAAAATGATTTTAAAAATCATTAAATCGTAAGCAGTGAGCAAGTATAGAAAAAAAGAATTAATCTTCGAAATTTTCTACAGAATTTTTTTTACACGGCGCTCTCGATTCTCAAAGCAACACAAAAAAGAAAAGAAAGGAAGCTAATTAACTATACACACACGATACGTAATACACACACATACACACATGATGATGAACAGCAAATACTAAATGAAATACTAAACAAGTCTCCATTGTACGATCCAGCACTGTTTCTATTGTCTTACAGATCTCAAATTATATATTTAAAATTATTTTTGTAAAAAAAAAGAAAAGAAATTAAGAAAGAAAAAATGAAAATGGAATCGCATATTTACATTCCCACAATTCCACAAATGACCTGATACTGATGTAAAAAAAAAAAAGAACTATCTTTCGTGTACTGTATATGTATTGTTCATCGAGCATAATTGAAATTAATGAGTGTACGTACACATACAGTGAATGTTATTATTTTTCATGTAATTAACTACGAAGTTGGTGGTAATCGCGACTTTCGATGCTTACTTCTCGAGAGTGAATTGATATACAACTAAGGAAATAAAAAACAAATATATATTTGACGTTAATGTAATAACAATATTCTACTATTACACTGTTGTCTGTTGTATGTTTATCGGGCGCGATCACGCTCGAAAGATTTAATCAAATATTATGTATATTACATAAATTATTATTTTATATTCATCGTTGTACATATATATTTTAATTGAGTAATTTTCATTTCGAAATACAACACTTATCCGTATACCTGATGATCGTAATAACGAAAGCAGCACTGATCTTTATAAAAAAAAAAAAAAAAAAGGAAGGAGAAGAAGAAAGGCCTTTTTTTCTTAGTTTGGTTGTCATTTTGTACGAATGAAGAAATTGTCTGTCAAGGTTATGGCAAAATGTACTTTTATTAGCAATGAATAATTATAATGTTTTAACCATCAATTTGCAAAAAATATAAGAAACCTATTTATCGCAATTATCGACGAATACGTTCGTTAATTACAACACTTAATTTTATATAGTATATATATATATATTTAAATAATTAAACTGATGATCTCTTTCGAACAATTCGCCAGCTTGTTCGTAGGGACTGTTGTTTCTGACATAGTTTGCAATATGTTTAACGCAACTTCCGAATGTCGTACTGCTTTAATCAAATCGTCTCGATCTTCTGAATTCGATGTTGTACTTAAAAGCGTACCCATCGCTACGAGAGTTCTGAATACCGCTTCGGATTCGCTCAAACGTGGTAATATAGAAAACATAACATTTAAGCATTGCGTCTTACCAAGAGTATCATTGTACTTATTCAAAGCCACGGTTAAATTCAATATATACGTTGAAATTGCTACCTAAAATAATTGAACGAATTAATTTCATAGATTAACCATGCATTTGTATGAATATCTTCGTTTCTTCATGCTACTTTTACCTGATTATTTTTATTCGCAAGAGATTCTAACTCTGACAATTGCTTCAGAATATCATCCTTGTAACTAAGACACAATTTCTCACCCTTTTCATGGGTGAACATATTTGCTAGCATACGAAAGGTGAGCATCTGATTTGATGGAAGTGCATCAGGCTTGACATGCTTCTTCACAATCTGCAACAGCTCCTCTGTACACAGAACATTATTAATCTCTTTATAGAGCACCGCAAGCCTAATCACATCGAGCACAGGAAACAGTATATCATCTGGCCAATTTAACAGTGTCTTCAAGGTGCTCAGAGCATCAGAATTTAATTGCTCAGAAGCTTCGTCTCTCGCAAGCTGCACTAGGGACTCCAATTTGTCATTGGGTACTTTTAAAGGTTCACTCTGCTTGGCATTTAATTCCCTTAGTTTTTCTGTTACAAGAAATATCAAATTTAATACTTAATTATTTTATTAATGCTGAGAGTAAGAAGTTATAAGTACCTAAAATCTGAGAAAGATTAGCTTGTTCCAGTTTCAAATACTTTGTGTGAGGAATATAAGAAGGTGCAGAAGTCTCTGAGGAGCTGAACGTTGCTGGTCGGGCGGACTCTTGTGGAGCTGTATTTGCTGTCGATTGAGGAATGTATCTACTGCCTCCTGTGAAAGGATCAGCATATTGAGCATCAGTTTTCAGAACTGATGCAGGTTGAGAATTTTTTATTATAAAATTTGCAACCTATAAATGAAAATAAATTTGCCATAAAAATTATTTGTCATCAACAAGCAAGCGACAGGTATCTGTCAAACCTCGTGTACCTGGTCTAAAAATAATTGACTAAGACTGTTGTCATGAAGAAACTTCTGCGCGACGTGCCAAGGATCTTGGTCATTGTTGTAGGGCAATTTCAAGGGTGGCACACCATCTTGTATATCCACAGAGAACACATAGTCGTACTCTATGCCGTTATAAAGTTTTTTTCCCGACGTAGCTGCACTTCCACCGGATGCACCCATGACGTTTCCAATTTTGATCCACCTCTGTTCATTTTGCGACCAACTGTAAGCTTTTACCGCATCACCGTCATTTACAATTTTAATCTGACCATCTCTTTGTCCAGGCTGAAGCAACGCTTCCGCATCTGGTAAACTATTAATGGATAAATTAAAATGTCTCCTTACTGTTTGTACTCCAATTCATTTTTCAGCTTGCCAACTTACTCTTTAATTTTGATCCCTCCTAGCTCTTGTTCAGCATTGAGCTTAACATTGGCTACCCCCTGTTCAAACTCTTGTAGAGTTTCTGGATCAGCATAATGTTCTGGGTCACATGTAAATATCCTGACAAAACCATCTGAACTTCCGGTAACTACATCACCATTAGGGAGTAAAGCTAAACACCACACTGACTGAGTGGGTAGGGTAATTGTTTGACACAGTTCTCCACTGTTCCATATCCTAAGAGTACGATCTTCCCCACAAGTGAATGTACTTGAACCATTTTCTAGGGCTAAAATACTATAAATATAATTCTCGTGTCCACAATAAGTTCCTAAGCAAGTTCCAAGTGATGCATTCCAATGACGTATAGTGGCATCATTGGCACAAGTTAAAAATTCATTGCTACTTATTGCAGATATATCACGAACACAATCGGTATGCCCAGTTAACTTATGCTGTACTGAACCATCGCCTGTCCATATTATAACAAGTTTATCTGCTGATCCAGTTACAATAGACCCACTAGACAAATCTGCCACACACCATACAGCAGCTGTGTGACCCAACAGGTTTAATTGTGGCTTGCTCAAGTCACTGAGGTTCCACAACTTTGCACTCATATCCCAAGAACTTGATAAGAATGTCCCTTCTTTCATTCCAGTTCTCAGTTTACATACTGTATCCTGATGACTCTTTATAATATTTATGGGCTCTGTTTGGTCTGGCACATATATACGAATTGTTTTGTCATGACTGCCTGTGATGATGAAACCTGTAGGGTTTTGCTCTGATGGATTTATAACACACACAGAGGTAACAAAATTGGAGTGACCCTTCAGTGTTGCAGTGTGCTCGTAATCCTTATCATTTCTACAAAATATACAGTGTTTATTTTACGATATGTACAATCATAAGAAACGTATAACCCATTTAGAGGAAGTACAAGAACGATGTAATGCAAAAACAGGTTAAATACCCGGATGGCTTCCAAATACGAGCAGTCTCGTCTCTAGACGTGGATACTATGGTTCCGTCGGCGAAGGTAGCTACAGCCCTTACGTCGGACGCGTGTCCGAAAAGGGAGGTTCTCAGCTTGTAACACGGTTTGGCCATAGCACTCTGATAGTCGTGCGAGGCACGCAGCAAGGACATCACTTATGCGAAACTATATATCGTGCGAGAATCTCGGCAAATAAACGCGGACAAATTCGCTCGGTTTTGACATTTAAAACGCATTCGAGCATGCGTGACACTTGTCACTGTGTTCGTACGGCATTACGTACATTTTCCCTTGCGAGACATGCTGTATACGTAAACAATATTTTTGCTGCATTTTTGCTAACGTCATTAACGTATGTTTAGTATGCTAGTTTTAAAATTGCAAAACCAATTTATTTAGCGGACCTATTACTTCTCTGGACAATTTGAATTAATCGAATATTGTTATCGATATTTAATCATAAATTATATTTATAAAACGTTGATATTTATTTGTTCCTTTTTTCCTTCAAAATTTCGTATTATGCTAGTAGTATGTAGTGAGTTTTTGATTTATAACGTTGAAAACATGTCACTTCCGCCAAGCGGATGACTTCCGTTTGGTTACGTGTTGTATATAGTTAAACGAAATATAACTGAAACCGGTCTCGTGGCAGGTTGCTATCACGTATGGTGCACGATGAAATTTATAAATAAATTCCTGTGTTTTATCACGATATTCGGGATTGTGAATGCGAGAGGACCAACGCTTGTTTTGTTGGATAATTTAGCGATTAAAGAAACGCATTCTATATTCTTCAAGACGCTACAGGGTGTGTAAACATTCTGCTATGTTCAATGAAATAATTGTTTATTGCCAATTATTTCGAATTTCCTTTTTTCTTAGCGCTACGAAACTGTTACGTTTATCTATCTATATCGTATAAGTTCTATCTGCACAGATATAACAAACCTTATAGAAAGATTGAGGTTAGGTTGTCAGTTACTTTTATACACTTTTTTTTTTTCAGATAGCGGATACATCTTGACGTATAAATTAGCCGATGATGCCAATTTGCAACTGTCCAAGTACGGAGAATACGTGTACGAGCATTTGATAATATTTGCACCTTCCGTGGAAGAGTTTGGCGGAGCTTTAAGTATTGAGACAATAACAGACTTCATTGATGGTGGTGGCAATGTTCTGGTTGCTGGTTCCTCTCAATCTGGAGATGCTCTCCACGAATTAGCCTCTGAATGTGGTTTTGAGATTGATGAGGAGGATTCTGCAGTTATTGATCATTTGAATTATGATCTTTCTGATAATGGATACCATACTAAAATAGTAGCAGACCCTGCCAATTTAATTGATGCTTCTGTGATTGTTGGAAGCAAAAGTGTGCAACCTTTGCTGTACCAGGGAACTGGGTTGATTGCAGATACAGAAAATCCTTTAATTTTACGTTTATTGACAGCTTCTAGTTCAGCATACTCTTATAATCCACATAATCCCATAAAAGAGTACCCCCATGCAGTTGGCAAGAATACTCTCCTAATTGCAGCTCTCCAAGCCAGAAACAATGCCAGAGTTGTATTCTCTGGTTCCTTGTACTTCTTCAGTGATGAAGCTTTCACTAGTCCCATTCAGAAAGCTCAAGGTAAGGAAAACAATCTAAAAATCACATTTCTTCCTTTTGAACTTTTGTTAAATATTTAACGAATGATTTGTAGGTGGTCAGAAGTATGAAAAATCTGGAAATGAGGCAGTAGCTACAATGATTGCTCGCTGGGTGTTTAAGGAAAATGGTGTGATCCGTGTTTCATCAGTTCATCACTATAGAGTGGGAGAATCTGAGCCACCAGCAGCATATACTATAATGGATGATGTTGTCTATTCCACTGATGTTCAGAAATTAGCTGGAGACAAATGGATTCCTTATGAAACTAATGATTTACAACTAGAATTTGTTAGAATAGATCCGTTTGTTCGTATGACCATGAAACCAGTAGGAAATGGTCGATACGAAGCGAGATTCAAGATCCCTGATGTTTATGGGGTCTATCAATTTAAAGTAGACTATACACGCATTGGTCTGACACATTTGTACAGTACCACTCAAGTGTCAGTCCGTCCTCTGCAGCACACTCAATATGAACGTTTCATTCCTAGTGCATTCCCGTATTATATAAGCGCCTTCTCTATGATGGGCGGCGTATTTTTATTTTCTCTAGTGTTTTTACATTATAAGGAGGATACGAAGTCTAAGTTTGAATAAAATAACCATTAACAAAACGCGCAAATTAATCAATTACGTAAAAAAAGGCTATGTCACTGACGAGAATAAAAAGGTGCTTAGTCAAATAAAATGTTAATAACAAAGTGCATTTACGTTGCATGCCTAAGTGTGTGACGACAGATTTATATTTATTTAAACCAAGGGAAATGAAGCGTGTATATTAAATAAATGTCAGAATGACCGTTTCCGGTATTCGTTAAAAGTGTAACCCTGAAGCATCTTTTTGTATCTATTGTAATAAATTAGAAATAAAAGGAATGTAAAATTACGTAAATTTTTTTCTCATTTATATACATGAATGTAAAAATACGATGAATTTGTCGTGTGAAGAAGATAGCAGTTCGAAAGCAGTGTTCTCATTGGTCGATAAAAATGCACCTAAGACGCATGAAAAATGCAGTATTATATTTGCAATTCCAAATTAAAAACGCAAAGAAAAGAGAATATTTCACGTTCATTAGTGTAATTAATGGTGCTCTTGTCACTTCACTTCCAGCAGTTCATAAAATTTCCATCGAATAATTTCAGCGAGCATGAAAACGGTCGGTTGATCTAATAATAATACATGTGACAATACACGATCATAGTTCATTGTTCGATCAGAATTTTACGTTGAAGAAAAAAAATAAATCACACCTCGTTAAGATTAATCAGAAGTTTCAAAATTCTATTTGCGATGAAGATATCGAAAGAGTTCGATGCACGGCCTGTCGGTGTTCGCGATCAATGAGTGTTGTTTAATATGACTTATAGTACCTTTGACAAGAGATCCGGAGGTTCTCGCAACGAACGAGGTAGTAATTGGACATGAAATATGCTACATTCGCTCGAGAAGAGCTGCGCCTCGTTAATAATACGATTCATAAATGCTGTTAATTCTTAACTTTCGAAAGTTTGAATGAAACTCGGCGAACATAACCTCAACACGGGTTACTTATGCCTGCTTCTGTATATACTTTCGTTCTTGTAGCTATTAAGGAACATTTAAATTCTCCAAAATGTTGGAAGGACTTGTAGCCTGGGTGCTAAACAATTACCTTGGAAAATACGTGGAGAATTTGAACACTGATCAATTGAGTATCGCTTTATTATCGGGTAAGGTTATGTTTCCCCTCCCTAGTCAGGTTCATGTGATTTTATGAATGGATTTTTATTAGAATACTTTATTGACAACATTTACTGTTACATGGTATTGTTATCTTTTCATTTGAATACTCAGAATGTATTGGATAATATGTCATTGTTCACTGTGTAGTGTTTAAAAGATAATATTCTTTATCAGGGGAAGTTGAATTGGAAAATTTGCCATTGAAGAAAGAGGCATTGCGTCACATTGGTTTACCAGTGGAAATAAAAGCAGGATTCATTGGCAAAGTTAGGCTACAAGTGCCTGTTCGTCAAATAAGAACTGCCTCATGGGTTATAGTAATAGAACAGCTTTATCTGGTAGCTGGCCCAATCAGTTTGAATGAGGTATAAAGATTAGTTCTTTTGTGATATTTGTGGTTCTGTGTATTTAGAGATAACTGTGTTTATAGTTTGATAATGAGGCAGAGGAGCAGGCAATTCTGGAATATAAGTTGAGCAAATTGGATTCCTTGGAAGCAAGATGGAGAACAGACACAGAGACAGATCCTGGTTACTATGCTACCAGCTACAGTTCTTGGGTGAACTATGGCACCTCCTTAGTCACAAATATCATTGAAAACTTACAACTAAACATTAAAGATGTTCACATAAGATACGAAGATGGTGTAACATTACCAGATGGTAAAAGAGTTTTTTTATTTAATTGAATGAGGGGAGAAGAAGTTGTGTTATTAGTAATAAGGTTGGTAAATAATGTCAACAGGTACTGGCATTGTACTTGGGGTTACTATAGGAGCTCTAACTGCTCAAAGTTGTGATGCTAGTTGGATACCAGGTTCCACTTCCTGGAACCTTACAGATGCTTCTTTCAAGCTTATAGAACTTGACAGGCTTTCAATTTATTGGAATCACTTGAAGCCAGACGAGTTTTTTGGTACCCTCAATCTCGGTGATTTAGCTGTATATATTTATTTTTCTATTTGAACTATCTAATTAAAGTATCAGAAAAAATGAATCGATAATACTGTTGATAATACTGATTTTTTTGTTTGTTAGATTGCCATGAGCGAGCCAAAGAATATAATAAAGAATCACATTCTGTCACCAGTTAATGCAAGGGCTCATATTAAGAGAAATAGGTCTGAACGACCATTAAGGTCTATAAATAAACCCAGAATCATAGCAGATCTCTTGCTAGATGATGTTCCATTATGTCTCACAGATGTAAGTTTAATTTTCTTTCTAAAATATTTTAGTCTAATATGCTACAAACATTATTTTTTTTAGGTACAATATGATCAAATAGTCAAATGCATAAAAGGCCTGAAAGATATAGATCGCTGTAAGCAACAGAGACGCTGCCGTCCAACAGTTAGTGTATCTGCAGCACCAAAGGAATGGTGGAAATACGCAGCACGGTGCCATCTCGGTAGAGAGACCCTGAAAACAAGGCCCACTTGGGAGGACATTCTCCGAAGGGGCAAAGAAAATATTCTGTATGTGGAGAGTTACACTAAAATGCTAGGTATTTGATAGACAATTATTGAAAGCCTGTTCTTTCTTTACTTATGGATATTAATCAGTACCAATTTATAGGAACACCAACTAGTATCTTACCTACTGATATGAAACAGCTGAAAGAGAAGGTGGAACAGGAAAGGAGCTACGATGAGCTTCGAGAATTAAGAGAAATAGCAATGTACAGGGTCAAACCGCCAAAATTGGTTCAGAATTCCAACGTGAATGTACCTCAACCCAGGGGAATGTTAGAACAGTGGTTTCCACAGTGGTGGGGGTGGTACTCTAAAACTTCGAGCACAAATATTCAGACTAGCTCTTCCACGTTCGATGGAGAACTCTTGGATGTCTTAGCAGACACTATGGACGATGACACGTTGCTACGTCGCGACACAGTGTTTGGACAGTTCAATTTCACGTTGTCGAAAGGCGCCTTCTCTCTATGCACAACAAAAAACAATGACGAGAACGCGAAAGCAGTGATCGAGTTGCAATTCGAACGTGTAAACTTGAGTTACGATTCTAGACCAAGGTCTGGCTCTCACAAATTCTCCATCAGCTTAGGGGCCTTGTATCTGCACGACTACCTCACAGAGAACTCGACTTTTCCTATTCTAGTACAGCCTCAAGTGATACCAACAATAAACACTAGAGTACGCAGCTCTACTGAAAAACTAACCAGTCAATTACCTCAACATCTGTTCGAGATGGCCTACGAAAAGAGGCCACTACACTCGAATGCCGATCACTCGTTGCATGTGAATTCCAAGTCTTTGGATATAGTGTACAACCCAGCAGTAATACACTGGCTCATAGATTTCATGTGTAAGCCACACAGGTCATCGTCTAACCAGAGACTGCAAGCTATGAAGCGTAAGACTAGAAGGCAACTCATCAAGAATTGGGAACAGATTCTAGACGGAGATCTGGTGTACCGTTCCTCGTGGGATCTGCAGTTCAATATATCCGCGCCGCAGATCCTTCTTGTGGAGAATTTCACAGAGTCCAATGCTGCTGTAGTAGTTGTTGACTTTGGAAAGCTTCATCTGTCGAACAGCGTACAGACAAACGGGGTCGTCATGAGACCAGGCTCCCCTGAGGAAGATGTCAATAGCGATGACGAAGACGAGAGGTTTGAAACACCTTGCTCGACACCGCCTGGTAGTCAAGAAAATGGCTCCGTACAGGACTTTCAGACCATATCTGAGACAGCACTGCATCAGAAGCTCTATGATCGCTATTCTATCGATCTGGTGGACCTACAGATTCTAGTGGGCAAGGTGAAGGACAATTGGAAACATGTACGAACCAGAGGAATGTCCAGCTTGCACGTTTTGGAGCGATTCAACATATCTTTGCAAGTAGAACGACGAGTTTTTGCCTCATCTGATCCGAATTTGCCATCCGTGACTGTTTCTGGAAACCTACCAAGGCTAGTGGTCCACGTGAACGAGCAGAAAGTGGAGGCTATCAGATTGATGTACAGTTTGCTTTCTAGTTTCTCCAAATCTACTGGAATCGCTCAGATTGACGTGGTTAATGTAGAACCAGAGAGTCCCAAGAAAGAGGAGAATCTGGATAAATCCTTGAGCCACGCTGTGATGGTTCAGTTCATCATAGATCAAATGACCTTCGAGCTTCAGTCTAGAGGTCGAAGCGTGGCAGAATTACAAGTTTCAGGTGTTCGTGCAGCCTTCAGCAAGAGGACAGCGGACATGAACGTCTCTCTGTCCGTCCATGGCTTACTTTTAGTCGATGCTCTTCAAGAATTTGGGCCTGATTTTGAGCTATTGGTGGCTAGTCACAAACATGTAGGAATGGACAGCATTTCTGGCAGCTTGAGGGATTCAGAGCCAACATCTCCCGTTTCTCCTGTATCTCCCGGCTCTCCAGATCCTAATATTCCAAGGAGATTGACCTCTCCAGTAGCTTTGACCAATGCTCTATCCAATCTAGCCAGTAAAGCGAAAAATCCACAGTCGCCCAGGAATAATTCTCTGATAGAATTGGAAAAAATGGACTCGGAAGCTCTGATTGTAATCGAGCTGACACTAGTGTGCGACACACTGGAGATTCTCAGAGTGGCCAACATCCAGTTCAACAATTTGGACATTATTGCCAATCAAGAGACAATAGTGGAATTGATGGGTTTCTTCAGGAGAATTTTTCCATCACGCAAGAGGAGACCAGGCCACATAGAGAGACAGGAGTCGTTTTCCAGTCAAACTGTAGAGCTAAAGGTGTCCACCAGGACAGAAATTACTTTCGATTTCCACAGATTAAATGTTTTGCTTCTAAGAGCAGTAATGCAGGATAACCATCTGGTGGGTCAGAAAATAGCTACAGCTACAATGTGTGATGCCAGGATACAGGCAACCCTTGCAGTGAATGCTTCCATCTCTGGTTCTCTTGGAGGCCTACAGGTTCTGGATCAGACGTCTACTGGTAAAACACATCAAAGAATAGTCAGTGTTGGCAGGGACCCTATAGCTGATCCTCCTCAGCATCCACTGGAGCATTTTACAGGTTTGTCTGATCAGCCAGAAGCACTAAGGTTCTCAGCCAATAGGTGTACCAAGGTTTGCTCACAGGATGGAATGGAGACCTTAATCGATTTGACCATACGCATAGGTAGTGTATGGTACACCCATGCACCACATTTACTGTCAGAGTTACGCTCCTGTGCTGACGAGTTCAAGCAGTATCTGAGTAATCTAGCACGTCAGATCAGTGCAGCTGCTACTGACATGGCCATAGGCCTGGTAAATGCTGAGGATTGGTCCATACCTCCTCGTAGACGGTTGCCGAGTCTCTCTGTAGATCTTGAGAGCTCAGGAAGCTTGTCCTTGAAGCTGGACGTTCTCCTAGACAGCCCTGTTTTGGTGATTCCTCGTTCTTCTCACAGTAGGCAGGTATTTGTGGCGCATCTTGGTACCATGTCCCTGCAACACGAGCCTCATCCTGGCTCCATGGCAAAGCACAAAGTGACCCTGGAAGTCAGAGACATGAATCTGTACTCTTTGGAAATTTCTGCCAATGTCAGCCAAGTTCACAGTAATTTGCCTCTCAGAGCTGATGATATCTACTGCTGTAAGGAGTCAGGAAAGCCAATCTTGCACGACACTATGCTGAAAGTGGTGGTCGAGAAAGAGAATATGTTAGCACAAAGTCCTAGTTTTTTTCTCGACAACGAGTTCTCCAGCAACCCCATTGTCCAAGTCCATGGTGTCGTCATGACGCCATTAAAAGTCTCTTTATCTCGGGGACAATATGAACAGTTATTAGACACGATAAACAGGCTCTTCTCTATGCCAGTATCCGTTTCAGTTGTTCAGAACTCCCAAGTTATGAACAAAGTACCAAATTATTCTGACAAACTCGATCTGTCCATCAAGGTCCTTTTTGAACTGCCCACTCTAAGTGTAGAGTTGAAGCAAGGGCCTCTGGAACAGCCATTGGTTGAACTATCAATGCGGGATTTTGTCGCAAAGTACGAGAAACTACAGAAAAACGAGTCCACCATTCAAGTAGCTGTACGGTCCCTCCTCATGGAGGATCTTCTGTGTCCCATTGGCTCCAGACACCGTTGCATGATGCAGTCCTCAGCGCCAAGTCGTGCCAAGCTTCTTGCTGGAGTTTCCAAGTCTTGTCCAGACTTTGCATTCATTCAACAGGTCAGAAGTGAATTTGGAAGAGGAAGTTTGCCTGACCGATTGGAAACTGGTACTCTATATGGTATATTTCCATCCCACTGGCATAGAAAACCAGTTTCACTAGCAAACACACCTAACACTCCACCTCCATCTCCTGGTGCATCGACGAGTGAAGAGAATCTGGTGCTACTGAGCATTACAATAACAGAACCGGACCATGATCAGCCAGCAAAGGACCAGTTTCATCAGAAGATCGTCTCTGTGGATTTCAATTGTTTGGATCTGGTGATCAGTGTGGAGTCCTGGATGGTGGTCTTTGATTTCTTTGGTTTTGCTGGTCCATCAGGTACCAAACCCAAGGTTACCATGCATCAAGCCTCAATTGATTCCACAGATCAGGTGGATAAAGCAGATAATTTACCTCTGAGAGCAGAAACAGAGATAGAAGTTAGATCTTTGACATTGGTGCTGATACAGTCTGAAAGGGAAATTGCAAAGGCCAATGTATCCAATGCTAATATGCACATTCTGAAAGTGAATGGAAAGACAAAGGTGTCAGGATCTTTAGGATCCATGTCTCTACTGGATCTGACACCTCATGGCAGATTTTACAGAGAAAGATTCCTTTCATCTGGAAGAAAAGCTTTGAATGTTCAGTATTCCAGTTACATAGACTCTGAGGAACGACCATATGATGCTCAGTTAATATTAGAGATGTCAGCAGTTCATTATGTACATACCCAGAGGTTTGTAGCAGAGCTTCAAGCTTTCTTTGGCCATTTTTCCCAGCTGTGGACCATCATGGCCAATCTGAGAGCTGGAGTTGGAGCGATAATCGACACCAATAAGAGGAGCATGAGGTTGTCTTTGCAATTACAAGCAGGTGCACCTGTGATACTTTTGCCAGTGAGCTCTAGATCAGACGAATTGATACTCCTAGATTTGGGAGAACTTACAGCGCACAATAGGTTTGCAGCTTCTGAGATAAATGAGAAATGCATGTTGGACATAATGTTCCTGGAACTGGTCAACATGGACGTCTATGCAGCTAAAAGGGTGAAATGCGACGACCAGGACAATGATATAGACACTCTAGTTGGAGGTTTTCACATAAAAAGACTTGGTTCATCATTGCTTACTGAGATGTGTCATTTAAAACTACGCATTGAAAGGAACTTGGACACCTATATCAGCAGAGAGATTCCAGACTTGAGTATTCATGGAACATTATCCACAATGGATTGTGCTTTAGATCCAGCTCAATACATGTTGATTCGGGGACTGCTCTCTTACAACATTGGAGAAAACTTAGATGACCTGCGTCAGTTCATGCAGGACCTGAATCAGACAGTTGAATATTCTATAGTCAGCATGGCCAACAAGGAGAAGATCTGGAAGAAATCCTGCATAACCCTGGAACTAGTGAATGTAACTGTAAAACTACATCCCAATCATAACATTGCAGCCTTAGCTTGTGTTAATTTCATCAAATCCAGGCTCACACTGGATTCGTTGAGCGATGGGTCCCAGGATATAGACCTAGTGTCTCAAGAAATACTGATCACCGATATGAGATTCCAAGATGAGCCAGCTAATAAACAGTCTAATGTTTTTACCAGTATTCTGCAGCCTTTGAGGAATTCGAAAAACGAAAATCGTGTCCAGGCCGAGGTGCATCACAGAAGACGCAAGGCAAACGCGGCAACAACAATTTTAGTGCACAGTATGCGTTTGACTGCTATTTTAGATTGGTGGGAGGCTGTGAGGGATTTTCTGATGCTGAATTCCGTGGAACCAGAGCCTATTCTTGGAACCTCACAGATTACCACAGAAAGTAATCAAGAAAATGAGAATAATGTCTCATCTACAATTCCACTTGAGTTAAAAATCAACATCACTGACTCTGAGTTGGTTATTGTGGAAGATACATCAGTTCGTGATACAAATGCTGTCATCTTGAAAAGCACCACTGTGCTTTCATACAGATCTGCTCCTCAGGAAGGAGAGAAACTACTTTCCTGCAATCTATCTCATTGTGAACTCTTCTCTTGTATTCTTGGGCTAGAAGAGGAGACTGCCTTGTCCATAATAGATCCAGTTGGAGCCAGCTTGGATTTGACCCAAGATAAATGTTTGGAGATACAGCTGCAGCCATTGTGTGTTAGATTAAGCTACCATGATGTGACCATGTTCTCCAGAATGCTCAGTTCTCTGCCCAAACAGACTCTGGTAGCCAAACAACGTTCAAGTGAAGCCTTGACACCCACTGAGAAACAGGTGCAAAAGCTAACAGTCCTAGGATTCTCTGATACTGACTGCAGAGCAGCTTTGGATCTCTGTAATGGACAATTGGATGAAGCAGCTCTCTGGCTGACACAAAATGCAGTGCCTAGTTCAGACACTGGAGTGAATAATGAATCTGTTTTTCACACTATTGACTTGCAAACATCCTGTGCAAGGATATGCATTATAGATGATTGCAGAGATGCTGATGTACCACTATTAGAGATTTCTCTATTGGATCTAAACTTAAGACAGGAGTGCATGGGACCTGGTATTGTGTCAGCCACTTTCAGCATTGATTATTACAATAGAGTTCTCAGTGGCTGGGAGCCATTCATTGAACCTTGGAGAGCCACTGTCCAATGGGAGCAGGCATTGACCAATTCCCTAAATGCAAAAAGAATGCAGATGTCCATTGATTCTCAGGACTCTGTAGATGTGAATATTACCTCCACACTGATAGAACTAATAGAACTGGTCAAAAACAATTGGATGCAGGATTTTTACCTGATCTCCAGTAAAGAGGTGGCTGTGAGCAAGGCGAGCAGTGGACAAGCGTACAGGCGCCGGATGCCCTTCATTCCTTTTGCTCTGAGAAACGAAACTGGTTGCAAATTGTGGTTCAAAACTATTATTGCCACTGCAGATGACACTAAGAATGTAGGGCACAATTTTAAGGCCGCAAATACTTTTCAGAAAGATGATACATGGCTAGAAGTCACTCCAGGTGACACTGTACCATTTACTTTCGAGGGAAGAGGAAAACTGAGGCATCATGCTACACATACAGTCAGGAGACACCAGATCACAGTGCTGGTAGATGGATGGAGACCGATAGACCCAGTCACAGTGGATCGTGTCGGGATATACTTCAGACACGCGAATGCAGATATCACTGGTGCACAAACAGACACAGCATTGGTGTGTATATCTTATTTTAGATTTGTTCACTTTATATATGGTTGCTCTCAGTTTCAGATGCTAACACCAAAGGCTAGAATAGTGTTTGCTGTCGAGCTGGAGGGATCAGCTAGAAAATTAGTGACCATTAGGTCAGCTTTACAAATATCCAACAAGCTAAAGCACACTGTGGAGATCAAAATGGAGAAATCTTTGAGTCAGTTTGGATGTAGGTTGCTTATATGAGTTTCATGTAATTCTTATTTATGTGATCGATGTTATCACGTCGTCTACTTCTAGATCTGCCTCTAACATTGTCCGTTAGCGACAGAATTCTTCAAGTACCTGCCCAATCCACTGTATCGGTACCCTTGACGCACACAGGCGTGCAGATGTGTTTAAAACCCATCAATTTGAACAATTTGTATCAGTATTGTACGGAGACGATAGATTGGACTGTAGTGAAAAAACCGTTGGAGGTTATAGAAAACCGTATCACCTGTAGAGCCAACCATAATAATATATTTAGGTACGCTTTAACACCGAAGAGGCAAATTAATAATTTCGTTGTGTACTTCTAAAATATTTTGTTTTGTAGAATGTCAGTAGCAGTGATGAGGGACAATTATCCACCGGATATTAGTCAAATGCTGCCAGCACATACCATAACCATAATGGCACCCCTCACCCTGACCAATTTATTGCCTCATGAACTATTGTTCAAAATTGGAATTGAGAATAGCCGAATTCCACCAGGTGGTAGTGCAGATGTGCACTCTGTGAATATTGAGGAACAACTGGAAATTACTGTACAGTTGGATGGTTACCCTGGATCTGGAATGGTGAAAAAATTTTCCACTTCCTTTTTTGTTATAATTTTACCAATATTAATATTACTTATTTTACCATAGGTACTACTACCACCAAACATAAATAACTCTTTCACTGCTAGACTTAGATTAACAGACTACTCAGGTAGAATACTGTACCTACATGCAGCTGTCAATATAGAGAAGGGTTCTGCGATACAGATCAACATTACTGCACCTTACTGGATCATAAACAAGACAGGTTTGCCTTTGGTGTTCAGACAAGAAGGAGTTGGAATCGAGGCAGCCGGGCAATTCGAGGAGCACGAGAAAGCCAGAATGATAGAACCTTTGCTGTTCTCCTTCAGTGATGAAGAAGCTAGTAGAACTTTGTCAGTGAGAGTTGGTACTTCTGTACACCCGCAGGGAATACCCCAGTGGTCTCAGCATTTCCATTTGCAGCCTGGAATACAGGTGCACCGTCTCAGAATATCTCTACGCGATGGTAGACCCGATATAGTATATCTGATTAGCGTAGCCACTAGGACAGCCAGAGGAAAGTACAGGGCTACAACTGTAGTTACGCTATCTCCTAGATATCAGTTGCACAACAAATCCAGTTTTACCCTGGAATTGTCTCAAAAATGTTTTACTACGACAATTGTAAGTGACAATGTAATGTTTACTTACATCGACAATTATTGCGTTACTTTGGTTTTCTTTTCTTAGAGTCATCCAGATGCTCAAGCAACCTACATCAAAATCATGCCAGATTGTCACATGCCTTTTCACTGGCCACGTCTCGACAAAGATCTGTTATTATGCGTTCGCATGATGAATGTGAAGGACTGCATGTGGTCAGGTGGCATCAAGCTGGACGATAATTATTCTTTGACAATTAACATAAGAGACACAACAGGAAGGATGTACTTTCTTCGAGTCGACGTGGTCCTGCAGGAGAGCACGTATTTTATAGTGTTCACCGATGCGGACACTATGCCTCCTCCCATAAGAGTGGACAATTTTTCAGAGGTTCCCGTGGTAGTCAATCAGGTGACTACTCAAGAAGTTCAGTACTGAATACGCTTCTTGTACCCTCACCACTTGTTCGCTAAACCACCTGATTGAATTAATTAGAAATTATTTTCAAGAGTATTTTTGTAGGTAATCGTGCATGACAACCTGCAGTGGACAGTCAGACCACACTCCTCTGTGCCATATGCACTTGATGAATCCATAGAATCAGCCGCTTTAATTTTAACTGCACCTGGAGGTGTTACAGCAACATATGACTTGAACATACTTGGAGAAGGAAGGGTTTTGACTTACGAGAACTTCATTTACATTGCTTTCACAGGTAATTCATGCATAATATCAATACATTTCCTTTATGAAGTAATTATCATGACTTTTGTAACTGTTGAAATTAGGTACTTTCAAAACTGACTGCGATTTAGGGACTGGAGAGGGTGGTATGGACCCCCTAGATGTTGAAACGCAGAGATTAGTTTTAGAAGCAGGACCTGGTGGCTGGGTTGCTTTACGAAGAAAGCAATATGGCGCCCGATCCCAATTATGGAGAATGACTGGAGATGGTCAGCTGCAACACGAAGGTATGAAATTAGCCTCGTTGACCGATACATTATTTTTAAACAATTTTTTTAATGAATAGGATCCAGTCCACCTAGAGATAAGCATTCGAAAACTCCAGAAACAGTGTTGGTTCTGGATATAGCAGGCACAGCGCCTCAACCTTTCACCTACTGTGTCCTGGCGTTGAGGAAACCTGATCCAAGAAGGAGATCCACTCAAACCTGGCGATTTACGGACGATGGACGTTTGTGTTGCGTCCACAAGAACATGTGTGTGCAATCGAAAGACGGTTTCATGGGATTACACGAAGGTTTGGCACCTGTTGAGCCTGCTGTCTTTTAGCTAGGCCTATTTTTATTGATTAGTTTTATCACTTTTACATTCAGAGTTCAACATGCAATAGCAACTGCTACTTCTAGCTGTATTGTCTCTTCCATTCATTATCATACCAGTTTTATTTTATTTAGCAAAGCTTCCACATGTCTATAATTTGCTGCATTTCATTCTTCAAAGAACAAACATTTCAGTCAAATTTAAAGATTCCCTTTTACGTTGAATCGACATGAAACTTCCAATTATTTACTCCGTGTATATCTTATTTTATCACCCTGACCCATGAAGCTTAAATTCATAATAACAATGTTGCAGGCAGCAGAGTCGCCCGTTGGCGAATGTGTACGTATAGATTCGGAGTACATTAAAATGCTGTCAATTACATACTTCATATCTGCTTGTTTTTTTATTTCATTAGCACTATGAATGTTCTCAGAGGCTCAGGTCAAGATACAACATGTACTGATTTATGGAACAGTGCATATCTTAACCTGAAGTTCTTTATTACAGCCGCTCAATGAACTCGGTCATCATGTACACTTTTTGCATTCGTTTTTTTAGGGTGCGAAGCAGTGTTGGGTCCTCAGACACATACACATCCTCCTCCAATAGAGCAACGCGTGGGAAGACAGAAGCTGAGACCAGGATCGGGGTTTCTGTCTGTCACAGTGACCACCGATGGACCAACAAGGGTCCTCCAAGTGCTGGACATCAAAGAAAAGGTATGTACACTGGATGAATCCATTGAAAATAGCAGTGCATCATTTGTTGATGTTTGTTTGCAGAAAAAAACATTCGCTCTGTTGGAAGAGCGCGATTGGTCGCACATTGCGGTCAGCCATCGACCAACTCAAATAAACAACAATGCGGAGAAGATCAATGCTAGAGAATTGGAGCTGAAAGTTAATTTGTCTGCTGGCCTAGGGTTGTCGATAGTCTCTCGAAGGCCAGTTGAGGAGTTGCTGTTTGCTCGTCTGGCTGGTATCTCCTTGGAACTTGTTCAAACTCCTGCCAACACTACTTTAGACTTAAGTGTAGAAGACATACAGATCGACAATCAGCTGTTTGAAGCACAGTGCACCTCTGTTCTGTATGTAACCAGACCGACCAGAGTTGAAAGTGAGCATAGGCCAGCGATACACCTGGTCGCTGAGAAGTTGAAGTCCAAGAATCAGAATGCAGAGATATACAAGCATGTGATAGTGAGCATCAAGCCTCTATGCATACATTTGGAGGAAAAATTGATTTTGAAATTGGCTGCCTTTGTGGGAGCAGGAAGATCAGGGTTAGAGATACCAGTGGATGAGAATGATTTCAAGGCACAAAGGTTTATTTCTGAAGTGTCTGCTGCTCACGCTAAGAGATATTACTTTGGCGCCTTAAAAATTGTCCCTAGTCAGGTTAGTACAATTTATTGCGATATTAAATGAATTACTCTGTATAATGTATTATTTTCTTTTTTCAGGTGAAATTAAGCGTGCTCACTACGACGAAACTGCCACGCCATCTTCAAGCCATTAAAAGACAATTAGGATTAACTTTAATCAAGTTCGAAGACGCTACCATTGAATTGGAACCGTTTATTAAGAAACATCCATTCGAGAGTACTCAATTCCTAGTACATTCTGTCATAAAACATTACAAAGATGTGAGATTATAAAATTATTTCATTTATACGTTCATTTTATGTTTCAAATTAAAAAATTTGACGTATTTTTGCTTCAGGAATTAAAATGGCAGGCTGCAGTGATACTCGGCTCCGTGGACTTCCTAGGCAACCCTCTGGGCTTTGTGAACGACGTCACCGAGGGTGTGTCAGGCTTGATCTACGAAGGAAGTGTGAAGACACTGGTGAAAAACGTCACACACGGTATATCTAACTCTGCTGCCAAGGTAACAGAGTCTTTATCTGATGGATTAGGAAGAGTCATAATGGATGAAAGACATGAGGAAGCTAGACAAAGAATTCGAGCCAACACTACAGGCAGCAGCGATCATTTGGTAGCTGGACTGAAGGGCTTTGGCTTTGGATTGCTTGGAGGAGTGACCAGCATCTTCAAGCAGACTTATGATGGGGCCACAAATGAAGGCTTCCCAGTGCGTTTATCATATCCATTAATAATAAAGCTGATTATATACAACTGATAAATAATTTCAGGGTTTTTTCGCTGGTTTTGGCAAAGGAGTGGTTGGAACCATCACCAAGCCTGTAGTAGGCGTGCTAGACCTTGCCACAGAGACTGCCACTGCTGTGAGAGAGACTAGTAGAAGGTATTATGGCTTTTGTATTGTACTCGATCATTTCTATGAAATAATAATGCTAACAATATTTTCTTACTATATCCTCAGTGCTCACCGTACAATACCCAAACGTGACAGATCTCCTCGTGTAGCTAGTGGTTCTGCTGGATTATTACCACCTTACAATCGTCAACAAGCTGAAGGTCAAGAGTTTCTCTATATCATAAATGAACACAATTACTCAGAATTATTTGTGGCGTATGAGTGTCTGCGTAGTGGAACGGAGAATCTGAGAGTGCTTGTCTCAAACGAAAGGGTTCGTGTGATTTCTGGCGGTACCAAAGGAGTAGTAACTGAAGTCAACCTGGCAGACCTACTATATTGCCAACCTATGCAGAAATTAGAGAGTAACGGTGTTACTTTGTATTACATAGAATTAATATCTAGATCAGACTCGTCGGCATCTGTGAATGTAGATGGTCCTGAGATTCTGAGAAGACCTAAGGTTCGCTGTGACAACGAGGAAGTGGCCAAACGAGTTAGTATTAACTTAGAATACATTTGAATATGCTATAAAAGAGAAGAGATGTGGTAGAGCTAGGTTATTTCTAAACTTAATCTCAAAATGACACTTGTATTATCGTTATAGGTGTCGCAACAAATTAATTATGCTAAAGGGATGCACGAGGAGCGTAGCTTGACCTTATCATCGTGTGACAACATGCTGGACGACGTGCAGTACTACAAGTAGTCGTAACAAATCTAACAACGGATATTTTCTACTCTTATATTTCTATGCTAGTCAGTTTTCCCGGTTTCTCTTTGTATATTTCTTGTTTTCCTTCTTCTTTTCTCTTTTTTCAACAGTGCACACATAACGATGCCTTACTACGCTTAAAAACTAAGTTGACGCGATAAGACTGAGTCCGTAATGCAGAACGGGAGAAATTTAAACGCGATGAGAGTATCAGACAATATTATTGTAAAGATACATGGGGAAAAAAGAAATTTTGGTTTTCGCACAGTTAGCACACGTAAATGTACGCGTACACACACACACACACACACAAACACACACAGTATCTATCTCTTGGGGTAATCTACTTAAAATGAAAGAAAGATATAACAAAAACCAAAGTTTTTATGATAGGATAAGGTATTTATTTTCTACATTAACGAGTTTGATATCTTGCAGACTATTTTTTCGTTTGTGACCACCAACTGTATACATACATATATATATATTTTTTTTTATGGCGTTCATTGTATAAAGGTGTCTCTAACATATGCCACTAATCAAAGTATTAATAACTGTACATTCTTCTTCTAATATTACGTGTGTAAAGAGAAAACAAACGAAATTGTACAGATATTGTAAGATCCAAGAATCAGCTACAATTTTTATACGGCTGATGCTTTGTACAACTTGCGTATATATACATATATTTATGGTAATACTAAACGAGTAAAGATCTACATGTTTAGCGGTGTATAATAATGGATTGTATACAACGATTATCTAGATTTGTTACATCTGGAGATTTTCACGCTGTTAACGTAATGTAATAAAGAAATCCTTCTATTTTTGTTCGATAATTCTGTATTGTGTTTCTCCATATAAAGTAGATTATTTTTACACATGTTTGAAAGCTTGATAATTTTTGATCTCCAAGTATAGACGGTACTATCCTGCTATAGAATCAGAAAATTTTCTTTCGAAAGCCTCTTCCAATCTATAGATAACGTTATCAGTGACAAACATGGTGTCTTGCATGATCACCTGAAATGTCAAACTGTTCACAGGAAATTTATCGATTAGCCACGTCTTGTTAATGTAACAGGGATCGTTGATTTAGGAAAAATATTAGCCCTGACGTAATCTAGAAATTATTCGGAGCTGGCACTTTGAACAACGAAGACAAATAGAGAAACTTCTAGTTCAGACAGGAGAACCGTAACCTATTACAATGGACGAGTATCTTGATGAATGTCCAGCGGTAAATTTTGAAACGGCTGCACTAGAAATCTTTGATGGTAATGAACTAAACAATTCAAGGCACTATGTTTAATGTTAATTATACTATTATATACAATTACCCAGCAAAGATTGTTTTAATAATGTTCTCTTTTTTTTTCAATGTTAACAAGCAGTGGACACTGCCCAGAAGAACAGAGAAAATGAAGAACACCTTTCGAACCAAGTTCCATTAACAAAGGAAGTTTCTAATGTTCCCTTCAAGCACATAGATATTCACTCGTTTTTTTCTGATAGAAATGAAGTTGTGGATAAGGCACTGAAAGACTGTGAAGACAATCTGATCAATGAGGAGGAGAAGGACATTGTTGGAAGCTGGCTTCTGACAGAGTATAAAATCAATTTTTAACATGTGTAAATTTTATCTGTTTGTTATATTAATGTTAGAATATCTTTGTAGGATAAGTCTATGGGATGTTGAGAAAGAAAGACTGGTAATACTTACAAATAAAGCTATTTATTCAATAAAGTATGATTTCATCTCCTTGAAGATATTGGAATACAATCGAATACCACTATCACAAGTAGACACACTAGTCTCTGGTGAATTGGTTTACCCATCTTCATCTCTAGCACCGTAAGTATCATGGTATTATGGTGGAAATTACAGGTGGAAAAGTTGATCACAATTAGGATATATCTTTATAAATTTATGGATAATATTTCTAGACGATTGAGTGGATTGGCAGAAGGTATGTCATCGATAATTCATTGTGCAGTTCGTCAAGAGTGGTCTTCTCTTACCTCTTGTACAGGCCTTGCACAGTTTGAACCTAGGTACACTAAATTCTTACATAGAGCAGAGAGCTCTGTAAGCTCTGCACCTTTTAAATTATTTTATGTTAACACTATCGATATTTTTGTGTGTTAAATTCATGTAGCTATCCTAAAATAATTTTTCTTTGAATAGAGTAGAATTTGCACAATATATTTATTTATGTGCATAAGTTAATGTTCATTTAATTGTACAAACATACATTTATGCTTGTAGTCTGTTGCTTTAATGGATATTTACTTACACTTTACTACCTCGTTTTATGCATATTAATCTTTGATTGATATTTGATGGCTCAAAACCTGATAGCTTTTTTATTGTTAATTAAAGTTGATTTTTCAGGAAAAGGCATATGTCTGGGATAAGGCTGATGTGGAACAAGGGCAATCCATTGCCACTGACCAAGAAGTGGAATCCATTTGCAAAAGATATCCCATGGCTTACTTATGCTAGTCATCCACTATTTTGGTATAAAGGTAATTTTGCTTAATTTCTATAAAATAATAAATAAATAATCCATTACCAAGAAGGTGTCATTTTTCATAGGGTCAGAAGTAGAGAAGGCAAAGTTTAACGTCGAGGGTTTACAGTCATCGATTAATAATCTGCTGCCATGGGAATGTAGCGTAAAAAGTGGACTTATTATTATAGAAAATTATTTCGGTGTAGGTGCCTTGGTACACAATAGAAATGGACTAGGTTTCTTTAAGATTCGTGGTAAAGTCAGTTTCTAGAGACCTGGCTCAATAGGAACCAAGATTTTTATTTAATTAACTTTACAATTTACATTATAATTCCTAAAGTTCCAGAAAGTTTCTATTTATAAACTTTATGATATTTATAACGGAATATCAAAACTAGCGATGTAAGATTCTATGTCGGGAAAATTTTGAAAACAGATCTCTATGTACTTCTCAAGCTTTTTGTTGTGAATAATATTCTTATGCATATCATATAAATTCTTCTATTGCATACATTACTTGCATTTTCACTCAGTACCTGGTTGACAGAAAGCTAAAGATAGATATTAAGCATGTACATTACATTAAGGTATCTTCTAGATGTAAAACTACGTTTTATAATTCTATATTGTAAAGACAAGGCTTAATTTTTCTCTGTAATAATAAATAAAGGTGATACTTCTTTAAAACTCGAAAAAAAAAGACTTATTTTACCGTTTCTTTATCGACCAAATATTTTTTAAACTTATTTCATTGCATGAATGTGTATAACCAAAGATAAGGTGGGTATATACAAAGTTATTTTGATTAGATATAAAAGCTATTTAATATATCGAGTCTTTAATGATTTAATAGCATAAAATATAAATTCATATAATCGTATAAATCGTACAATTATATCAGTTTGGTTATGTCCGAAATATAATACCACCTGTTGACCCATTTTATTAATTCTTCCATTTTTATGCGAGTTTTGACAAGAAAAATTTAGAAAAAATTAAGAAAATATCAAAATCAATAAAATTCCTGTAAGTAATCGAATTTTTATAACGATGTATTCTAATATTTTTCTCGCTAATTTTTTCAGACGTAAAAGACATACGATATAAGTCTCAGAAACCTGAAATGAGTTAATGTAATTGAGCATATACAGGTTTAACGAGCGCCAATTAATGTTATTAGATCATAAACCGACCATATCCGGGGGAAAGCTTTATAATAGGCATACACTATACTAGATCAATGCCATAAGATGTATCTTCATCGTTTCAAGTTGTGGTCCGTTTTTCTGATTGGATTTGGAATTGGTTTTCTTTTTGCATTGGTCTTCTTTTTTGCTCAGAATTATGTATTTAATAATATTTGCACAACACCTTTGCCAAACTTCCACTCCTCCAGCAGAAACGTCCTTTTCAAATGGTTCATGTCTGACACTAATAAAAAGACTACCTTCCAAACTTGGAATGATTCAATGAACAAAACAGAAAATGTATCATATAATAAATGGCTGGAAATTCAGAAGATGGAATTGAATAACATTGGTATGGACTCTTATCTTTATGGGCCTGATAGTGAGGAGGAATTGGAAGCAAATTGGTTGACGTCAAAAGTTCACATTACCTGTGTAGTCTTTGTAAAGAAAATCAAACTGGCCAGATCTATCCAAAACACTTGGGGAAAACGGTGTAACAAGATTTATTTTTTTGGTCAGGAGAAAGACTCCGAAGCACCTATCATTAATTTCCAAATAAAAATAGTATCTTCATGGCAGCTGTTGTGTGAATCCTTTAACTATATTTGGAGGAACAATGGAGCCTCTGAGTGGCTTATATTTGTGAAGGATGACACATTAGTCATTCCTGAGAATTTGCGCTACATGCTTGCCCCACTGAATCACTTCCAGGACCATTATCTAGGTCATGCTACCATTATGTGGGGACAGCCTTACAATGTAGCAGATGCAGGATATGTGATTAGTATGGGAGTTCTTAGAAAGCTAATTAAAATGTTTGATAACTCAGAGAAGTGTGTGACTGGTGGGAAGTATTGGAAGCAGGAAGATTATTATCTTGGTAAACTTTTTATCTACTTTTTGAGGTTTGTAATCTACTCAATTATAATCAAGTTGGTTTTTTAAATTATTTCCAGCCAAACATTTGGCTTCTATGGGGATTTATCCTTCTGATACCAGGGATCAGTACTTGAGGGGTACATTTCATGGTTACCCTTTGCACTCATTGTTATGGGGTGTAGTTAAAGCAGGTGTTTATTGGACTCGTGCATTATACCCCATAAAGGACACTGAATGCTGTTCCTTCTCTACTGTTACCTTTAACATTGGTGATTCTGAAAAAATGCATATATTGAACTATTTATTATACCATTTGCAAGTTCTGAATACTGAGGCTGCTTTTGGAAGTAGAAAAGCAGCTACCTCTGTACCTGATGAAGATGTATGTACATGCATGTATTGCGATAAAAATGAACTAGGAATTAATTGAATTTTATCGTTTTTAGGTGTGGAAAATTGCACTGAAAGAGGAGTTCAACATTACACATTTAAACAATATCAGCAGTGAAGTTTATTATGAGATATGGCACGCGAAATACCCGGAGCCAGAGCAATTAATCAACAAGATTTACAGGGCTAAAGACTAGCTTTTCTTTTTATAAATTTTATACATTTTAGAATCGAAAGGTGCTACTAATCTGACAAGCATAATTGTACTGTGCAGAGCTGTTAAGTTGGCAGACGGAAGGAATGCGGGTCTCATCGGTGTAGCGGATATATTCATACAGTAAGATCACACACATTTTTATTATTGGCCGAAACGGTCACATCTGGTAATTCATCGCATGACGGTGAGCATCAAAGGTAGAGCAAACGGCATACTCCCCTTGCCCCTGTGCTGTCCCGACTGCCAACTTACCAGCTCTGCACAGTATATAGCTCAAAAAATTGCGTAACATTTTTTACCGAAGCGCAACAATTATATTAATATAATGTTACCTGTACGTCTGACATAGATTAATAATCGTTATTTGAATTGTTTAAAGACCTTTTATGAGTGACTAAATATTTATTAGGACCTCTAGATTTTATATACATGACACTCTTTTAGTACTAATATGTATCGTTGATACGACTAATGTGAAGGGGTGTCGTTTCTGATAACTGTTTCCCTTGTTACACCATCGTTGCCTTATCTGACTAATTAGGCACTTATTAACGCTTTTAATAGCCGTGATAACTGAATCATGACGCAGCTTCAAAAATGTGTCAAGAATAATGTGAAATGATACGCTTTGAATGTGATCTGTTTCTGAATAGTGAAAATGTGTAACATCAAGGTATTTCTAGGGACAGCCTTTAGTTATAAGTTGAGAATTACAGTACCTGATAATATGTACGGTGACAAGCATATAAATAGGCAAACAATTTTGTTAATATATAACACAACATAGATTCGTGTTTCTGTGTTCTCTTTTCCCAATGTGACTTTCAGTTACTTATACTCTAAGCTATAATCTAGTGTCGTCATATTTCGTGATCCTTTATTTACAAACTGTTGATAAAGCTTGATTTTTTTTAGTGGTAACATTTTTGGCAAGCAGCTGAATAGGGGAAATTTAATTCTTCATTTTCAAAAAATATTTCAGTAAGTTTATTTGATTATAAAGTACGGATAAACGTAGTAGTTGTAAAATGTTTAGAATATCACTTTTTACATACAGAAATGGGTCGTGGATAACATATTACAATCACACATTGTCTAGAGATTCTCCGCCTTCGGGATTAAAAATTGACGCTTCGTGAAATTTCTGAGCATTAAAGCATACGTATGCAAGTCAATGGAAGTGTGAGTAGCAAAATGTGCAATAAAAAACCACAAAAAACGATTTGATAGAACGATAACCGTCTTACAAAAGTGGACAAATTTTGGACTGCAGTTAATATTCACCGTGAAATTTCCACACGAATGGACACTCAAATTAGTGTTCATATTAGTGTTTTTTGCGTCGTACGTAAAATACCTTTCATAAGCAAAAAAAAAAAAAAAAGAGTTGTAAGACAAGACTAACTTTTGCCAAAGAGCATCTTCTCTGGATAAGAGAACAACGGACTAAAGTCATTTTTACTGATGAGTCCAAGTTCGTTTTCTTAGGATCAGATGGAGAGAAGTTACGTAAGACGTAGAATAACGGAAGAATTTGACCCAAAATTTTTGAAATCGATCCTTAAAAGAAGAGGCGGCTTTGTAATGATTTCGGCTGGTATGACTATAAACGGTCCTGGTTCAATTTGCTGCATTAATGGTACTATGGGCTAGCATCCCTATGTAGATATACTAGATAAACATTGAATTCCTTTCATTAAAGAAAATTTACCGGATAACTGAATATTTCAGGCTAATAATGACCCAAAGCATACATCCCGAAAAGCGAAACGATTTTTGAAGGAACATAATGTTACTGTTACATGTTGATCAGCACAGTTACCGGACTTAAATCCGAGAGATCATGCTTGGAATGGCGTGGACATATTTAAAAACAAAAAAAAAAAAACTGCAAATTTAAACGATTTATACACAATAATTGAATATGATTGGAACAATATTTCGCATAGCTGCATTCGATTTTTCTGATTCTATGCCTCGTCGCTATGCTGAGGTCACGAAGAAAGGGTTGCCTAACGAAATATTAGTTAATATAGTAGATATGTCGTTTATATTATAAAATAAAATATTTTCGACAAGTAAATCTGTTTTCCTATTTAGCTGCTCCCCAAATATACTCTTATTTTAAGTTTCGCACTTTTTCTTTTTTATTAACGCTTAAACAGAGTTAGTTATCAAAAGCTTGCGTGACTGTAGAGCTTAAGAATTATACTTTTAACATGTACAAAGCGAAAGAGAGAAATCTCAACCGCAATATCGGAACAACGTGTTATATATTGATAAAATTGTTTCCTTGTTTATATATGCTCGTTATTGTATATAGACACATAAACATACAAACTTATTAAACGTATATCCTTGTATAATAAATATTTTCATGCAACAATGATCATGTAAATTATCTAGTTCTATAACTTGAATAAACATTTTTTAAAGAAATGATCTTTCATTTAGCTGAATTTCAATCTCACTAATGACCCATATTTTGTTTCGTCGAATCCCACTTATCAAGCTAAACTTCCGTTATCGGTTATCCGCTTCCTTTAGACGTGGCTATATAAAAGAAAAATTACATTGATTCGCATATTCGGTGAGAATAGCTTTTCCAATAACGTTCCACATCTTATTAACGAGCATGTCATAAGAGTAAATGCTTCAGCATGATGCTGCAGAGTGTAATCTTCAACGTTGCCATAATCGTTGCTGTTGTGGGTCCATTAATTGCCGGAGATGATCCTCTTCAACGCTACGATGTCGCAGAGTAAGTGTTACAGCGTTATCTCTTGTTCTTCTGGCCAACATGTTTATATTACACAATACTTCAATTATCTCAGTACCACTATTCCATTGAACGACTACTCAAAATCAAGTAACGAGGGCGTGAAGAAAGGCAAGGGCGGAAGAAGACCCGTTCTCTTTCCAGGTGGTTGCAGCAGCCAACCGAATAAGCCGATAAACGGTGATATCAGATGCTCGATAGACAGGTAATTCTTTCATTAGCAGCATCTTCAATTCATTCTATTAAATCTACAAATGTTTTCTTTATAGCGGATGCATCGCGACCTGTAATCGTGGCTACAAGTTCCCAAACGGAGTGAAACAGTTGGCCATTGCGTGTAACGACAAAGAATGGCAGATTTCTGGCACAGACTGGCATACTGTGCCTCATTGTGAACGTACGACTCGCTTCAAACTCTCTAATCGCTTTGTCACAAGAATTATAGAGTAAATGTATTTGTATATTTTTAGCGATTTGCATGCCAGAATGTTTGAACAATGGAGTATGTACAGCACCACATCAGTGTGACTGTCCTGAGAACTTTTCTGGACCGCAGTGTCAGTTTGAGGACAAGCCTTGCCTGAATTATATTGCTCCAGTGCTTAATGCTCATAAGCTGTGTAATTCAAAGTATGTTTTCTTAGGTTAAATTCCAGTCTGCTTGATTACTGATTGCTTCTACATTCTTTCATCAGGTCGTGCACAGTGTCTTGTTTGAAGAACTTCACGTTTCCAGATGGTTCCTCTGTCACTAATCTCATCTGCAAGAATGGAAACTGGGAGCCCACCAGGCAAGATTGGGTCTCTATTCCTAACTGCGAACGTATGTTAATCTACCAAATTGAATATACATAAATATGTATAAAAATTACACGTGTTCCTTTTCCTCGCAGCTGTGTGTGATCCACCATGCCAAAATGGGGGTAATTGTCTTCCATCGAACATCTGTCAATGTCCACAGGACTACAGGGGACCACAGTGCCAATACTGTAAACATAATTGATTTAGTTTAAATACACCAACGTCGATTTCGTTGAATTAATCGATAAATTAATACCGATGCAGCTGCTGACGTCTGCAACGGAGACAAAATGGGATTCAACGGAGGCTACTTCTGCTCAAGCGTTGACAACACATACTCCTGCACCTTAAACTGCCCTTCTGGAGTGGAATTCGAATTTCCTCCAGCCGTCGAGTACGTTTGCAGCTATGCAACTGGTGTCTTCTTGCCTCAGCCTATTCCTCAGTGCAAGTACAGTGATAATAGAAACGTGGTCTCTGTGGGTGCTACGTACAACTCCTACGTGAAGGAAACCAATCACACTTGGAGCTATCAGGACATCTACAACTCCTATACGAACCAGTCCCCGCTGATACAAGGCAGTTACGATGTCACTGGAGCTTATAACAACCACGAGGGCAACATGACTTCAAACACAGTAATATTTTTCAAGATACCTATTGTTAAACCTGAGGATAGAACACATTTATGTCAATTAACGACATTTCATTCGATGCCAGGTGGTGTTTAGTCCCTTGGAGGACAACTTGCTGCTGATCCACGAGAGGCGACCTATTCCAGAGACCTGTTACACCTGGGGTGGGACACATTACAAGACGTTCGACGACAAAATCTTCAGCTTTAATAGCCAGTGTGCCTACATTTTGGTCCAAGAGGCACAGAACAGGCTGTTCACCGTGACAACTGAGAACAGTCCAACTTGTAGTAGCCAGGATTGCTTCGAGATCATCAGGATCTTCGTCCAGGACAAGGAGTACATTTTACTGCAAAACGAGGACGGCGTGCCAGAGTTTCGAACCCCAAAGAAGCTGTTGCCAATACCTGTGCAGCTCTCTGCGTTGAGGGTCGAGATGTCTGCTCATTTTATTGTGGTAACCTTGGACTCTTTGGGTGTTCAATTGAAATGGGACGGAGCTCTCATGCTGCAGATAGAAGCCCTTGAAAATATGTGGAACAGAACGGTTGGCCTCTGTGGTAACATGAATGGAGACAAGGGGGATGATTTGATTAGCAAGAACGGGGATCATACTAAAAGTGTTGCAGCGTTTGCAACTTCCTGGCGAGTAGAGAACATTGGAGGTATATCGTTCGTCTGTTGTACAGCTAGAAATGTACACCGTTAACTGTCAAGGTCTAATTCTTTTTTTTCCGTTTCTTCAGAAACATGTGACGAGTATCCAGCCATCGGTCACTCTTGCGAGTCCAACTCAATGATCACCAGAGATGCCATAGATTTTTGCACAGAACTGCTCTCTGACCACAGATTCAAGGCTTGCACCAGCACGATCGATGTCTCTGAAATGCAACAGGCCTGTCTACTGGACTACTGTGCTTGTCCGGACAGCGACAGAAGGACATGTGCCTGTAACACCATGAACGTTTACGTCAGACAGTGTGCTCACAAGAAAGTAGCATCCCTGTCTGGATGGAGGAACAATGATACCTGTCGTAAGTTATCATACACTCCAACCTTTCAAATTCCTTTGTACAAACTGTTCATGAAAAATGTATTCTGATATTTTCTTCTTGATATCGCAGCGATGATGTGCACCGGTGGGCGCGTGTACATGCCATGTGGTCCAAGAACAGAGTCATCCTGCTGGACAGGGGTAGAGAAGAAGATTGATGTAAAGAACTGCGAAGAGGGTTGCTTCTGCCCGGAAGGAACAGTCGCTCACGAAGGCAGATGCGTGTATCCCAGCGAGTGCCCTTGCAGATTACGTGGAAAGCTATTCCAGCCTGGCAAGAGTGTGCAAAAAGACTGCAACACCTGCACATGCTCCTCAGGAAAGTGGATATGCACTCAGGCAAAATGCAGTGCCAGGTGTGCTGTGATTGGTGATCCTCATTACTGTACGTTCGATGGAAAGCACTATGATTTC